CTTCCATCAGATGGTCAATTAATTGCATGTGATATTACTGATCAATATGTTCGACAGGATATATGGAAAAAAGCAGGTGTTAGTGATAAAATTACATTAAAAATCGGATCAGCTGTTGATACATTAAAAACGTTATTAGAAGAGAATGGTCCTGGATCATTTGATTTTATTTTTATTGATGCTGATAAACCAAATTATCTAAATTATTATGAACTAGCATTGGAATTAGTTCGTTCAAATGGTTTGATTGCTCTTGATAATACTTTATGGCATGGAAATGTCGTCAATGAATCAGATACAGGAGCAAATACAGTTGCTATTCGACAAATCAATGATTTTGTTCGAGATGATCAACGCGTTGATATTAGTTTTTTACGTCTTGGCGATGGAACAACACTTTGTCGAAAAAAATGAAACAAACATATTACAATTTTTCTATTTTGATTGTGTGTGTAGAATGAAATATTTATTTAATAGTTGAAAGATAAACCAGCGCTTATTTTTTTTAAATTTTATTTATCTTGTAATTGAAACTAATGAATATGTAAAGATAATTGACTCTGAGTGAATGAGAAAAATAAACACAAATTTTTACTTATATACACTTGTGATTATTTAAAATAATTATGAATGAAGCCAACATAACCATGAAAAAGATTCAATCGGATAAGATTCTATATTAAGAATAAGGTTGAATAAATACTTAATCGTTTCTAATCTATACACAAACATCCAATGGTTGTCAAGAGATTACAGCCTAGTACATGAATAATGTTTTTCATTGTTTATACTATCTCGTTAGCGATCTCTGATGCAGTTTGAGGAAAGACAAATTTTTAATTCTGTTCTTTAAATCGTTATCTCAGGTAAATATGAACTGAAAGGTTATATTTTCATACTACAAATCATTTGGTTTTCTTTAAATTTACATATGTCAAGAAGAAATGGGATAAACTCAGCCATCATATGCTAAAGATTACTTAATTTTTCGTTACTGTTATGGTGGTGGATCGCACAGTTCATAGTTTAATTTAAGTATATATTATTTTAGTTATAAATAGTATACTTACTGACTAAAACCGATTTATAATCCATATCTTTATTCGAGATTACAAAATGATTTTTTCTTCTATTGAATTAAATAAAGTTCATTTGATATATTTACAACAACAGAAAAAAAGATCACATTCCATACGACAATGTATGAAAATCGTGGTTATGTATTAAATAAAAATATGCAATGTCATTGATCTTCGACTTTGTTGTCTCTTTTAAGTATTCATGTAATGATGACGAGACAAGAAAAAGAAATATATATATATGCAATGACTTATTCTCTCGTATATTATTAATACAGCTACTTGTTTGTCACTTCTTCTCATTCTTCTTCAAATAACAGGATGTCAATATATCGACTTTATTATTTTAATGCTCGTGGTCGTGCTGAAATCTCTCGTTTAATTTTTGCTGCTGCTGGTCAAAAATTTGAAGATATTCGTTATGAATTTAATGAATGGCCAGCACATAAATCAGAAACACCATTAGGTCAATTACCACTTCTTGAAGTCGATGGTGTTAAATTAGTTCAATCAGCTACCATTGCACGTTTTCTTGCTAGAAAATTTCATTTAGCTGGTAGAGATATTCTTGAACAAGCTAAAGTCGAAGCTGTTACTGATACAATTAGTGATGTCATACCAGAAATAATGTCCATTCGTCGAGAACAAAATGAAAGCAAAAAACAACAACTATTACAAAAATTTTCCGATAATTTACCAAAATATTTACAAAATCTTGAAATTTTAGCTGGATTATATAGTAATGGTGGTTGTTTTTTTGTTGGTAATCATTTAACCTGGGCAGATTTATTTTTCTATGATCTTGGAGAAACTATTCTTCAATGTGATAGACATTCTTTAAATACTTATCCATGGTTAAAACAAAATCGTTCTGAAGTTGCAAAACAACCCAGAATTGCTGAATATCTAAAGAATGGTCCTAAAACACCATTTTAAAGAACAAAATTATAATTGATAAATATTCGTTGAGATCTTTTTCATATATTCTTAAAATAAATATTTTATTTTCACTTCAGTTATATCTTAACTTATAAATACATGCTTCCTTAGAAATATTAAGTATACATTCATGTTAGCTTTAATCAATTCTTTTATTTCTCGCATTCACCTGGTTTTGAATTAATATATTGAAGCACATTGGTGCATAATGACAAAGCAAAAAAAGAAATGTTGGTGACGCACATATGATATTTTTCTATTCTCGTATGTCATTATTTGTCTTTGTAAATAGCTCATTTGTGTTTTGTTAATTCTAATATTATGAATATTCACTTATGAAAGAAATTTGATATTTGACAGTTTCTTGTCATGAAAATGGTTCAAGACACATTTTATTTTAAGAAAAAAAAATAAACGACAGTTTTACATACATATGAAAAGCGCTTTGGAAATATTTTTGAATGAATCATATTATAGATTAAAAAAAAAGAATGTCAGTTTTCATTCATTATAACATCAAAATTCAATGATACGGTTATTTTCCAAATGCACGTTGTGGTAAAGGCCTAAGGAATTCTATAGGATTTTGGGATGATGGTTGTATAGTATTGAATCGAATAAATATCTGATATATAGACTGACGCACTTCAGGAAGTCCAACGAGACATACGAACGGACAAAGAAGAACAGCGAAGTATTCAAAGTAACAAAACACATTTGAGGCTAAATCAAGAGCAAGTTGATTTGGAACAATGATTGGAATGACGAAAGATATAATATTTGGTATCCAAACAGCGATATACATAGTAGAAAGAGCTGCTAGTTGGATCACCATTTTACGATTGCGTTGCCAGATAGCACGTTGACCTACACGATGTTTCTGTAGAATTACACGAATGATGAGTACCATTGTTGCAACAGTACCTACAATAATTGGACCAAATACATCACAAAACCAGTCAAATAAACCTATGCCAGGCTATTAATAAAAATTATCAAATTACAATATTTTATTTCAGTTTATAGTTTACTTTCTTCTATTAGTTTTAAATCTACTAGAAGCAATAGTTCTCTGTAATATGTATGTTGTCTTACATATAATGAGTTTAATCAGTTCGAGTCGGAAAGAAGTATATGCAAGAATACTATCATATGTTTTATTTTTATTAAATTATAATATAATACGCTATCTGCTATTTAAACTCATATTAGTTCATGAAATACGCCGAACTTTCCGACTAATAAAATATAACAAACGTACCTCAAATTGATAACATGGACCACCGCAAACATATTTAGTATAATCAAAATCGTTTTGGCATGGATATGTCATAATCACTACTGTGTAAAATAGTAATGGATAGATTACACAGAAGGCTATTGGACCATATAGTGAAGTAGGATCAAATGTCTCTAGAAAAAAACTCGATGGAAAACAAGAAAATATCTCTCGATACATCCATAAGCCATGAGCATAAGACCAACTACACATTGTGAAAAATTATATACAGACCAGTAAAGACAGAACGAAGTTGTTTGTATAGGGACAAATCCTGTATGTAGCACAATCAATGCTATTGGCATGTCTGTGAGTACCTTTATAGCAACGATCAAGTTTTTTTTTTCTATATTATGGTATGATGACTTACATGAATGAAACTGAATGATATTAAAACGAGAATAATATGATTATTAAGTCGTTTACGAAGTTCTCGAGATCGAACAAAATGATAAAATATATAAATTGAACATATGATTGAAGGAATCGTAATTGTTAATAAAATATAAAAAAGAGCTGAATAAATTGAACTTATATCGAGAGCCATTTTGTTTAATCTTTGATCGGCAAATAAAATTTATACTCTGACTAAATTATTCTCTATATTTTTACTTAAATAGAAAAAAGTTCTTATCATCACCATGTCTATAAAAAAAAGATTTGCCTCGTGATATATTTTTGTATTCAGTGATCTATAATTAAAGTAACCTGTTGAAACAAAAAGTTAATTTTGTCTAACAGGCGCGTGACGTCTGCTATAAAATACTAATTGGCCATTCTTAAAAAGAGTTTACACTGAATATACTGTAATTAATAATCTCATTGTATTTTATTCAATCTTGATTTTTCTTTTGAAAAATTGTGATGAATAAAAAATCAAAGTCGATATTCAGAGGCCGAGTCGACCAAAAGTTTTCAGACAAACTGTCTGTTTACTTTTGATTCAGATTGAGCGTATTATAATGTCTAGCCTTCATATTTGATCATCTGTGTACGTATCAAAATAATATGAAATTCATTAAATATACCATTGAAATGAACTTAGGTAGGTGACAAATCATAATTTATGAACAAAAAAAAAAGTTATATTTAACGAATACTAAACTAGAAATATTTGTTATTATATTCAATAAAATAGAAAAAATTAAACTACATGGGTTACTGCTAAAATAGCTGCAACAATAGATCCACTTGCAATTCCAAAGTATAATGCAGTAGTCATTAAATAAGCAGCTTTTTCACAATTATTAACTCCAACAATTGTTTGCGGACGAACCATAAAAGTAACAGTTGCAACAAGACCATTTGTAATTCCTAATAATGTTATTAAAACAAGAAGAAGTATATTATCTATACTATGACGAAAGAATATTATTAAAATAAATAAAGTTCGTAGAATTGATAAAAATAAACAAATATTTTTTGAAAAATATTTATGAACTTTCATAGCTAATATACGACCAATTAAATCTCCAAGATTAAATGTTCCAATAATAAAAGGTGAACACCACCAAGAATGACCATTATATTTAAACCAACCATTATTCGTTGCATTACATGGAATACCTGGCCATAATAATAAAGTTATAAAAAAGACATAAATTAAAATAAGTAAATGAGTTTTTAAAATTTTTGTTAATGACCAAAATGAAAGTTCGTTTTTAATAAAATGTAATTCAATATTTTCATTACGAGTTTTACATTCAAATGAAGTCATTTGTTGTTTTATTCTTATCTTCATTGAAGGAATATTTATTAAACTATAATAAACATAAATAGCTAAAAGACATAATATTATTAATACACCCATAAATATATAAAATGATAATTGATCCTGATCAATATGACTATGTACAAGTAAAACAATTAAACGTATTAATGTATTTACAATAACATTTAAAAATCCAGCCAGACCGGCACCAACTTGAACAGCTTGTGTAAATGAACCAATTGGAAATAATCCAGCAATAGCATATATAGGAGATTCAGTTAATGTATTAATACCTCCAACAAATCCAAAAGCAACTATTAATACAATTGAATTTTTCCAAGACATAACTAAAATAGCCATTATTATATAACCAATATAACCGGGTATGATACGTTTTGTAAACCCATATTTATAGAAACCAAATATTAATTGAATTATATGACAAATAAACATTGTTGTACCAGATGATACAGTTCCCCAAAAATCTATATGATCATTGGGAAAATATTTTATATAATAATTTTGTGCAGACATTAATGATTGATATGCCCAAAAGACAACTAAATTAAGAAACAAAATTCGCCAATATATTCCTTTATAATCTTTTGATATATCATCCGTTGTTTCTTCGATAGGAATTGTATTGATTTGTTTGTCTCTATTATTTAAAGAATTCATGTTAATCTAGAAAATAAATAAATTTTAAATAAACTATCATTTCTATATGAATATCTTCGTTGATTTATCGAAGAAAAAATAATATATGATTTTAAACGATACATATAACTATCGTGCATGTTAGAGAAAGGAAAAATAAAAATAAATTTTCTCTCTCACTGTATATTTTTCGTGTATACAAACATATAATAATATCAATTTCTTCTCGTACTACAAAATCATATGTATTTGAAAAACTTCTTAGTTTACATGTATACAAGTAAATTTATCTAAAAGTATGTGATTTCTTATATCTGATGCTCAGATTTAAGGTGCATACAAAGCAAAAATTAAGTCAAATCTTTACCGTCGTTTTTCGTATATCATTTAACAGGACATGAGCTTATAATCAAGAAGATCTACTATTTAGCTTTTAAACATGTCTCATTCTTGTTATATATGAGTTTTTTTATGCGTATTGCAACAGTAGTTGTTCGTTATGCTTCATTTCTTTCTTCGTATTGACCTTGATGATAGATGTTTGTCTATCTTTCTCTTTTTTCTTTGTGACTACCATAGAAGAATTTCTTCATAGTGATAAAAAAATAAGTGGTGTATTGAAATAGTTTATAGACAAAAACAAACTTTATAATGTCTTATTTAATAGATTACTTACATAAAAATTCACAATAAACTCTAGTTATCATATAAGAATGATGTAGAAAACAAGGATCAGTTTATCATTATCTTAGTTTTACAAGATACAAATTGCATTATGTGTCCTTTGTAATGTCAATAAGTATTCTTAAGTTTATAATACATTACATACATCTATACATACATGTAAATCATTTATGTTCTCACTTCTCAATCACATTTAATTTTTAAAATAATATTCAATGTTTGAATAAATAAAAATGATTTTCATATATGCATTTTAAATATAAAATGTGTCAGTCGAAAATAAAATTTCTATATATCTTCTCAATGAATAAACATTACAATAGTTTCAAAGATCAGAAAAAAAAGAATAAAAAGCTTACGACACTCGGTATTCCCAGGCGGTCACCCATCCAAGTACTAACCGAGCCCGACGTTGCTTAACTTCAGTGATCGGACGAGAACTGGTGTATTCAACGTGGTATGGCCGTAGGCGTACATACTTTTACTTCTCCATTTTGTTATGTCAGAACTATTCATCATGTCTACGTATATGTTAAACTTGAAGATCGACTTCAATTATTCATGAGTGGAAGTAAATGAAGGTTACACATCGTTAAAAATAGTTGAATTCAACTTTCAAGTTTGACACTTTGGTAGATTAATAGATTCGACAGTTTATCGATCAAAGTTTTCACCTACATAATCAACGACAGCTTTGTATGATTATTGTGGTACAATATACTTATTAAGATGGAGCATTTCGAATTATTTCAATTGTATATCATAACGAACTAGATAATTGAGGGT